ATGGAACAACAAAAAAAAAAAAAAAAAAAAAGAAAATAATAAAAAAATATAGATAGACATATATAATAAACAATGATGTATCTATATTCATAAACACAAATATATATATATATATATAAAATATGATTAAAATTAAGAAATTTTCTTATGAATATTAAATTTTGATAAATAAAACATGAACTATGAATTTTTCTTTTTTCCTCATCACATTAACTATTAGATAATACTTTTTTTTGCATTTAAGATATAATTTTTTTTAAATTATATTACAAATGTAAATACTATATGTAAAAATAACTTTTTGTCATGTTAAATATTTCAGCTATTTAACCTTTTACTTTTTAGCTTTTTTTTTTTTTTTTTTTTTTTAATTTTGTGTTGAACACTTACAATATATTTGCTTGTCAGCAGTAAATGAAAGGAATGTTCTGGGTTGTTCATAAATATTATAATAATAATATATTAGCTTGATGAAATGTAATTAAATGTGTATTTCTGCTTATAAAAAAAAAAAAAAAATCATAGCTTTGTGTTTGTACATATGTGAATTTTTTTTTTTCTTCTCCTATGTTTATCAAGAAAAAATTCAAAAAAAGTAGAAAAAAAGTTAAAAATATATTTCATTCTTCATAATAATAATTTTTTGGATGATGCATTTCATAAAATATTAAATATACACACTAGTTATTCTTAAATTGGAAAAAGAGCAAGTCGTATTATAAAGGAATTATGTTCTTAATAATATTTAAACTTAATATATATTTGTAAGGCATTTTTTTATTATAAAAAGGATGTTTTTATTTTTATTTTATCAATTGCTTCATTAATTTTCTCAAAAAGACTATGCGAAATTTTTGACGAATTTTCAGCTATGTTTAATATGGAAGAAATTTCCATTGAAATACCATATAATTTGTGAAATGCTACACATTTTCCATTTGATGTAATAGCTACAACAAAAATATTTTCAACCAACTCTTCTTCAATTTTAGACATATCATAAATATATTTATTGTTTATTTCTCCAATAGAAATACATATAGGAATGTTTTCATAGGGAAATTTTGTTTCCTGATTATCAATAATTTCTAACTGATAATCTTTATTTTGAGTATCTCCGAATACATCTGATTCTTCAATTTTCTTTTTAGGATGAACAACAGGTAAGGAAGTATTCCTTAAAGCAACATATATAGCTATACTAATAATATCTAATAATCCTCCTCCAGCATTCAAAACCATAACATTTATATCAACATTCCAAACAAACTTTGAAGGTAAAATACAAAGTTTTTTTTTATTAATATTATTTTTTATACATAGATCATATATAATTGAAGTCATAGTTTGTAAATGTTCTTTTTTTATTCTGTTTGTAGCAATAGATGCTGGGCAATCTATCTGTAAATTAACAAAACCTTCATCGTATGCATCCGGATTAGGAGTTAACAAAGAAAGCTTTATTCCACAAATTACGTTATTTTCTTCATTCATAACACTGCTACTTCCATCTGCTGAAACTAAAATATTTTTATTTATTTCTATAGATCTGTAGGTTGATAAAGTTCTCCCATCTACTCTGATATTTGAATTGATACTATCTTCAATATATTTTAAACAACTCATTTTTTTTTTTTTTTTTGGCAAACAAATTTTTTTTTTATTTTTCTATTATATTATTTTAAAGTAATCAATAAATATCCTCAAGATGTTTAAATGAATATGTTAAACATACTTTTTTTTTTTTTAATTATTTTATTTTTAAATTAAAAATGACGAAATAATTTATGTAAGGCAAAAATTACAATAATATCAAACAACGCTAAATGATGAAAAAAAATGTGACAAAAAAAAAAAAATTGTATAAAAAATTATAATAGTTAATTTTATATATATTTTTTATAAAAAATATATTCAGAGAAATTACTCTAAAGTGGAAAAAGATATGCAAATATGTATCATTAATTTTATAGAAGTAAAAACTTCAAAAATAATACATATAATATATATTCAAATATTTTCTAAAATATTAATTTTACAAATATTTCATAAATATATTTAACATACAAAAAAGATTAATACATATAAATAAATTAACGAATATTTAATTTGATAGAAAAAAAAAAACAATAACCTAAGAATTCACGAAAATTCACTCTTTTTTATTTATTTTTTTACAATATAATTTAATATTAACAATTATGTTAATCTTAGATTTTACTTCATTTTAAAGATAATTATCACTATAACATCCTTTATATTCTCCCATTTCTTTTCTTATATCACTATGTCTTTTTGATTTATTGAAACATATAAATGAATTAATATAATAAAAATTTATTATAAAATTTTTGTTCTTATTCCAAATATGATATAAAAGTAAAAGTAAAATAAATATTATTATAATCATTTTATATTAAGGAAAATTTATTAATGTAGTATATCCACGTTAACTTCATTTTATAATATGAATAAAGTTACTATTCTGGATAATAGAATTCTGATTCATAATGCATTTTAATGTAAATATGTAATTTTTTTTTACAATTATGAAAGAAGCTTCCCTTCTCTTTCTTTTTTTTTTTTTTTTTTCCTTTTTATAAACCAATTAACAATTCAAAGGAAAAATAAAAATGCATGTTAAAAAAACAAAATAAAATAAGTTTTAATGGGCATATTAATATAAAACCATGTATAATTAAATGGTGTTTTAAAAATGTATAAATATATTATTAAAAATAAAATATGAATAATGAAAGTAATTTTTGTAATAATTTTTTAAAAATATATTATAAAACCGTATTTACTCTTTTTTTTATAAAATTCGCAAAATAAAACTTTTTAAATAAAATAAATATTCATTTATTATTTATTTCTTTTGAAACTTATATATATAAAATGTATATTTATATAAATCATGTAATGATGCATAAATTTTAATATCGAATATTTATTTTTATTGCGTAATGCGTTAACATAGATGAAAGCAGTGGTATTTGTTTCAGGGTATTCCATAACATTTTTTTGAAAAAAAGTTATTAACAATAATATTTAGAGTAAAATGTTGAATTTCTGTTAATTTCAAACAAATAAGATTTTCACTTAAGCATAAAAAAGAAAAAAAAAAAAAAAAAAAAAAATTGAAGTAATAAATTTTTCTATTCATCATATATATGTATACCCTTTTCATGAATCATTTAAATAATTTTTTTTAAAACAATTTTTTTAAAACAATTTATATTTTTTAATTTTATTATATTTTTAATATTATAAATTAGCATAATTATATTTCAGTTTATGTAAACAGATTAAGGAATTGATTTGTATTACCAGTAAGATATATTTTCATTAAAATAAAAAATTTACTTTCATTGAGAATAAAATGAACAAAACAAGGAATAATTCAAAAGATAAAAAATTCAAGATGGAAGCAAAATGTAAAAAGAAGAAAAAAAAAATAAATAAATCAAGGAATTATAAAGAAAATTCACTAAAAGAAAAAAAAATTAATTCAATAGAAAAAAAACTTAATCATAAAAAGTTAAAAAATACTGAATTTTTGAAAGAAAATAGTGATACGGAAGATGAGCAAAATTCTATTTTAGAAGAATTTTATAATAAAAATGATTTAAGTGATACAAGCTCTAATGATAGCATCAAAAAATATGAGGATTGTATTTTAAACAATGATGACAACGAAAATGAAGCAAAATTAATTAACATAGAATACGTGAACAAATACTTAAATTCTATTAATAAGAAAACACGATTAAATAAATTAGTTAAATTACTATCATTTTATAAAGATGCTTTAGATTTATTTAATGTTGATGAGGTAGATAGTGAATTACCTAAGATAGAAACTCCTAATAAAATACAAAAAAAAAAAAAGAAAATAAAAAAGAAAAGAAATAAATATTCTATGAATTTAGATACATCTTTGTTTATTGTTTTTAACGTATTATATAATATAAACACTCTTTTTTATAATATTACAAATGATGGTAATTTAAAAATGAAGATTTGGAAAATAGAAAGTATAAAAAAAAATGAATTATTCGAAGATAAACAGGAAAATATTAAAAATAATAATTTGTCATCTGATAATTATGATCTAGAAAATATATATAAATATAAAAATATTCAAAAATATAAGCCTATTATTGTATATTTTTTTAAAACATTACTACTTAAAATAAAAAACTTAAATAACAATGATTTGCTCTTAGGAATTTTAAAAATAATTAAAAATAAGGAAATATTAAGATGGATAATAATATTTAGCTATGGAAAGCAATTTTTAAAAAAAATATGTAAGTTTTTTATTATTTCTAAAAATAATGATGCATATTTTTTTTTATTTATATTAATTCAAAATATGTTTCAATTATATAATGAAAAAAAAAGGACTATATTTAATAACTTATCAAAATCAGAATATGAAGAAGAAAATGAAATTAAAAAAACTTTTGATATGGAAAAAACTATATTTGAAATATACCAGAGTTTTTTTCAATCATATTTAATACATTACGGTACGAATTATAATATTACTCATTTAAATCACATGAATTTTAAAGAAAACTGTTTGATTGAATTATTTACCTATTTATCGCATGATGTCGCATATATAATTGCCTTCAGATATATACAAATAATCATTCAGAAAATTCGAGAGCAGTTTAAAACATTTTATGAAGAAAAAAAAACAAATAAAAAAAAAGATGATCAAAAAAAAGTAAGTAAAAACATAATGAATTTAAAGAAATTTCATTTGCACAGTAGTTACATGATACTACTAATAAGGTTTTTAACAAAAATTATAAATTTATGTGACAATTTAGACATTTTAACATATGGTATAACCATATTAATTATTTCCATTTTGAAAACTAAAATTAATAATATGAAATTTATACCTATTAACTTGCAATTTATTAACATTTTAATTCGTATAATGGAAAATAAAAAAAAATATATTCCATTATTTTCTTATTTTTCATGCATTTTAAATGGTTTGAAATCATATAAGCATATAAGATCTGTTTCAAAAAATCAAGCAGTTAGAATGTCTATTGAAAATTTTGATATTAACACAAGTATAGAAATTGATGAAAAATTAATAAATGATTTTTCAATACCTCACCAAATTTATGATAAAATATATGTGCTTTTATATGATTATATTGGTCTTATGGCAAATCATGTTTCTTTCCCAGAATTTTTTGTTGTTATAGAATCATATTTAAAAAAATATTATTCAGAGTGCGAAATTTATGTATTTAAATCTAGGATAAAAAATTTACTGGTACAAGCAAAAAGTTCTATTGATATAATTTTAAATAAAAGAAAAAATATAAATATATATAATGTACATGATAAAATGACCCATTTTCAAAATGAAAATTTTCCATTATCAAGTCAAAGGTTGATTGTATTACAGAATTATGAAAACAATTATTTAAAAAAAATAGAAGCTAGATTAAGTGGAATAAATAATATAAAAAATAATGAGGAGGAAAATAGTGAAATTGAAAAAATAAATGATAAGAAAAAAAATAAAAAATCCATAAAAAAGAAAAGAGAAGCTTTAAAAGCAGTAGATGATGGCAATAGGAAAAAAATAAAAAAAATAAAAGATTCTATGATTTTATCAAATAATGACAACTTGGAAGATTTTTCTTTATCAAGTGAAGAAGAGTCAACCTAACTAGTATAAATATTAATTTAATATGATATTTTAAGTTGAATACTCATATATTATTTTTACTATTTTAACAAATATATATAAAAATGTATAAAAACAATGTTTTTTTTTAAACAAATTATATGTATATAAAACTTTTTTATTTTGTAATATTTATAACATTTAAAACGATTTGTTTAAATAATTTTTCATTTATACTCATATATACTTTTGTCTTTATTTTATTTATTATTTTTATTATTTTAATTCATATTAATTACAATTATAGTCTTTTTATATGAGTATGTGAAATTATATTATACATCATTTTTATTTTAGTGAAATTGAAGGAAATAATATCATGTATTAATTTTATTTTATTTAATTTAAATTCTATATTGAGTCATAAAAAAATAAAATTTTCTTATAACTTTCTATATGTTCATACAAAATAAAATATATATTTATTTAAATAAAAAGATAATTTTGTTATTTTATTTTATTTATAATTAGTACATATATTTACTTAAGACTTATTCATTATTAAGTTAAAAAATTTTTTAAATAAATATAAATTGATATGTATATTATTTATTTGTAAGCATATATTAATTAAATTAAAAAAAGTTGCATTAGAAAATTTTATTGGTTTTATAATAAAACATTTTTTTTATTATATTATTAAATTAACTTTATCTAGTTACAAACAAAAATAAGAATTAGTTTTGAGCGAAAAATCATTCTTAAATTTTTGATGACATAAATTACTAGAAATTTTATCATATTAAAATAATAGTATTTTTTTTTAAATAATATGTAAAAAAAAAGATTATAGTAAAGACGCAATTTACTAATCTCATAAAACAAAATTCAAATTTAAATATTATTTAAACACAAATTAAAAACAAATAATCAATTACAAAAAAAAAGAAAAAAAAAAAAAAAAAAAAATGAAAAAATAAATAAAAAACAAAATGGCAAATAAGGTTATCAAAAAATAATGAAACATTTTATATTAAATAATAACATTGTACAATAATAATTCTATAGAAATACATAAAATATTCTACTTAAGAAATGAAAATTGCTGTATTGAAGTTATGAATTTTCGGGATTCTTTCTTTATTATTTGAAAAAATAATATTATAAAAAAAAGAATTCATATATAGAAAAGTTTCATATTAATTTTATTAATTAAACTTTTTAACAAGAATTTAAAATAAAAAACATTACATTAATTTCCCATACCAATATTTAAATCAATAGTAACACCTTTACGATTTGAGGAGGAGGTTTCTATATTAATATCTATATCACCCTTTTTTACTTTTGATATATTCTTTCTACACGCTTCTTTTTTATGATCCTTATCAATAATGCTACCACAAGCAGATTTAGATATGGCACTATTGGCATTATTAGAATAATGGCATTCATGCATGTATCCTCCATTCATCATGTTTCCCTTCATATTAGGGTTAAATTGTTGCCCATATGCAGGGTAGTTATATCCCAATCCATTAGCCATCATATAATTATTATATGGTTGTTCGTTCATTCCATTTCTCCTATACATCATTTTGGGTTCATTCAAAGGAATATTTCCACACATCAAAGAATTCGTTCCTGCAAAATTTGATTGATCGTAAAGACCATATGGAACATTACCATCCTCGAACATTAAGTTGTTTCTTCCATGCATATTATGTTGCTGCATTGTTAAATTTGCAAGCTCTTTATTAAATGTGTTTGCATAAAATCCATTTCCATTAGTTGTGTTATGGTGGTTGTACCCAAAACCGTTCATAGGTGGATATTCGTTATATCTTGGGTCACACATGTTTTCCTCTTTTTTATCTAAAGTTTCAGTTTTGTTAGTACTATTAAATTTTGCAAAGTTTTCAGAATTTAAAGATGGGATATGCTGATGAATTTCTATGCTATTTTTATTATTTTTTAATGTATTATGAGTTTTAAGATGAGTTATATTTGTATTGTTAAATTTTATAAATTCAGCATTATTTAATAAATTTCTTTTATTATCTTCTGAATTTTCACAATATATTTTGCCTGTGCCTCCGAATTTTTTGTTACATTTATTATTGATCAATTCTGTATTTTCTAATAGAGATTGCAAATTATCTTTTTGATAAGTATTATTTTTATTTAAATTATATTGAGTCTAATTAAAAAAAAAGTTAATAAAAAAACATATAAATAAATACATATATATATATTGAAACTTTTAGATAAATTTCAAAATATAAATTTTGTGGATTTTATCTTATAGAAAAAATATAAATATATCAAAATGAATATTGTTTATTTTCTTACTTCTTTTATATAATTAAAATTGTTCTTTATGTTTTCGTAAATTTGTTCTGCAAGAACCCTGTTTAATTCGTAATTCTGGTAATTTTCTTCTCCTGCTATTTTATGATATGGTTCAGAAAAAAATAAATTATTTTTATCAAGACCTTAAAAAAAAAAAAGAAAACATATACATGTATAATTTTTACAAGAAAATAAATGTACAACAATTTAATATAATTTATCGTAAAGATATGTAAAAATTTATAAAAATCTCTAATTTTTATTTTTTTTAATAAACAATAGAAAAAAAAAAAATATATATATAGAAAATAACAAGTTAACATATGACAAATAAAATTTAATAAATATGGTAAAATTAAATATTTAGACAGAAGAATAACAAAAAAAAAAAAAAATAAAATAAAATAAAAAATAAAATATATTAAAATAAAATAATTTTAGGAAAACAAAGAGCAGTTAGCATATTAAATAACTAAATTTAGCGAAAATTGAAATATATACATCATCAATATTATTGCAGTATGAACAGGTAATATTTTTGTACTTTTTCATATATTTTTTACCTGAGCCTTTAATGCTAAAACTATTTATTTGTTGGTCTAGGATGTGCACTAAAAAAAAATAAACAAATATATTTATTTATGTATAAGTAAGTAAAAAAATGACAAAAAAGAAAAAAAAAGAATTTTTTACTTTTGATAAATTTATAAGTGATTTTTAAGAATTATAAATAATAGGAATGTTTACAAATAAAAAATATTAGTAAGCTACCAATCCGATTATAAGAATAAATAAATAAATATGTTTCATATAAATTAACAGATTAAATAAGACAAAGTAGTTATATATAATACAGATAAGAAATTATAAACACAGTTTTAACATTATAAATTTAATTTTAAAGTAAAAAAGTTTAACTTTTTTCAAAAATTGTATCTTAAATTCATAAGTGAACTACTTAAAGAAGTTAATTATATTTTTTATTTTTACATTAAAAAAAAAATGTAACAAATAGTAATTTAAAAAAAATAACTTTTAATACAAAAGATAACAAAAAAAACATCATATCTATAAATAATATGTATTTCAAATTACTGTTAAATAAAGAGTGTTGTCAAATATATATAGCTTTTTGTGACATTTCTTAAAAAAAAAAAAATGTGTACTTCATTATTTTTTTTTTTTTTTTACATGTGTACAAGTTAAAAAAAAAAAAAAAAAAAAAAAA